AGGCAAGATTGGTTGTGAGCCAATGACAATCAGACAACACACGCCACCGTGGCAAACGCGTATGCACACGCACATAAACAAACCACACACACACATAAACACACACACATAAACAAAACACCCACACACACACACACACACACACACACACACACACACATTAACAAAACACACACACACACACGCAGAGGTACGCACCGGCGGTGTTGCTGCTGTTGTTGCCGTTGGTGTTGCAGATGGCGCGTGAAATCCAGACATACCACGCATCTGTCGTGACGGCAGTGGCGACGAGAGGGTAGTTGTCATGGTAGCTCGATGTTTCCACATCAAAGACTATGGCTGTGGGCGTGTTCTTGCCGGGCGTGAGAGGAGCCGTCACCTGTTTGGTTGTGTACTGCGCCAGCGGCGCGGTGCCACCATGTGCACTGTCAGCAGAGACGAAGGTGTACTTGGTCCATCCCGGCTGGATGACGAAGCGATCTGGGATGGGCGGGAGGTCTGCGCGCATGAGCTCTGCGGCGGCGCGGCGCTCACCGGACACCTGCATGAGCCCGATGTTCTGAAAGTGGTCCAGGATGGTGGCGCCCTGGAGCGGTGGCAGCTGAAACTGTGGGATCGTTGGCAAGGGGTCCGCGGTCTTGTCCCAGAGATCAAAGGCCTTCAGGTGCTTCTCGATCTTTTCTGCTGCGGCCTGTGCGGTTGGAGACAGCAGGTATTGCATTGCGCGTTCATTTGCCCTGAACAAGGGCTCCCACAAGAACAGCGGCAGCATCTGCACCCCGCACAGGTTCATGCGCCTGCCATCTCGTGCTGGGCTGGCTGTGGCAGTTGTCGTCGTTGTCGCTGTTGTTGCTGTGGCTGTCGCTGGTGTCGTTGTTGTGGTTGCTGCTGCCTTTGGTTCTTCTGCTGCCGTCGTGCTAGCCTTCCCACCACCACCACCCCCACTACGGCCACCACCCCCACTTCGGCCACTACGACTGTTGCTCTTGGCTGATAGGGATCGGATTTGTGTGCGAGGGATGGTGACGAGTCTTTGCGCTCGTATTACATGATGGAGAGCTGCCACCCTCTCCACAACTTTACCTCGACACCCACTCCCCTGCCACCGCCACCACCGCCACCATCGCGCTGCTGCAAGCGACGGCAGTGACACGACAGTCATCCCTGCCTGCCTGCCTGCCTAATGTGAGTGCGTGAGTGCGAGCGTGCCTTGTGTGCTGGTGGTGTGTGTCTCTGTCACCGTTGTTTGTTCCACCACCATCTGTGTGTCATCCAGTTGCTGAAAGTCAATTTTGACTTTTCGCTACTGATGGTCAAAATTGACTTTAAGCTCGCGTCATTTCACGATCAGTGTCTTTTATGTACCATTCCCATTAATTTTCGCATTCGACCCCCCAACCAGCAGACATCGTGAAGGCCTGTCCCGCTGTGTGGACTCTTCGCCAGCCAGCCAGCCTGTCACCAATAAAACCGCAGCCTGTGTGCGTGCGTGCACATATTGGCTTGCCTTTGTGCGTTGGCTTGCTTTGCTCTTTGTATGCTCTTCCTGCCATTTTTTTTTCTCTTGGCTGCCCTCCTGAAGTTGTGGCCCCAGCGCAACACACAACGCCTGCACCACTCCACGTTGTACCAGCACGGGCGCCACCACCACACCACCACTGCACTGCTTGTGCCAAAGGTTGGTTCGCGCGCTGTTTGAAGGCGTTGGCGTGTTCCTGAACCATTGACCCACCACCATCAAACATCACACCACCTCTTGCCAGTCCTCCGCACACACTTATGTATGTGTGCGTCTCCTCGTGTCTTCCTCCGTCTCAAGCACGACACCCATCTGTCATTTTCTACGCCTGTCCTTCATCCTCATCTCTCTCTCTCTCACACGCACACACACATACACACATCTTGCTTTCCTTCGTTCCCGCGGCCGCCTTTCTTGCTTTCATCAGCCACTATTATCACCACAATTATCGACGTCAACAACGACAGCACCACAGATCGACGACGATATCACCACCACTGCCAACCAACCACACACACAGACACACACCAATAAGAATGCAACGAGGACAGCAGCACGGCTTTGAGGGTTTGGACATCTCTGGCTGGCTAGGCGGCTCCGGCATCTCTCCCGTCGGGTTCAGCCCATCCGCTGCCGATATGGACTTTGATGCCTGGGAATCTGCACAACGCACCGCAGCCAAGGCCGCTGACTTCAGTGCCCTTGCCATGCCGCCACCAGCATCCTCCTTCTCCGCTCAACCCACCCCGGCCTCGTTCCTCTCAAACTCGCTCCTCGCCGCCACAGCGCCATCAACAGCTGGAACCACAACGGCCAGCGGCGCCACCTCCACAACAACATCAACGACCAAGGCCACATCGCAGCCAAACACCCGCTCGAGAGCCAAGCGTGGTGGCTCGAGTAGAGGTGCCACTGGCGCCACCAAGCGCGGCAAGAAGGCGCAGGCCGCCGCAGCGCAGCAGCAGCAGCAGCCCACGGATATGGAGGATGGGAAGCAGACGCAGGACAAGCGCTACCTGAACAAGCTTGCCGCAGACAAGTACCGCCGCAAGAAACGCCAGCAGTTTGAGGAGCTGAGTGTCAAAAGTCAAGCGCTGGAGACGGAGAACCACAAGCTCACTGCCAAGTGCACCAAGCTCGAGTCCGAGGTGGAGTACCTGAAGGAGCTGCTCTTGGTCACCGTGCGCAACTCAACCAACGACTATGCAGACGCGGCCTCGCCAGGCGCGTCCACCACCGTGTCGTCCCCGTCGTCACCCTTTGACATGGAAGCCTTTGCCAAGGCCTATATGGACAAGCACGCCAAGGAGGCCGACGTGCGCATTCGCCAGCTTGAGGAGCAGGTTGCGCTACTCTCCGACAAGCTCCAAACCACCGCATAGTGTTCAACGTCATCAACACGCACGTGTGCGTGCGTACGTTTGGTGCTGTTTGTCTCTGTTTTGCGTTATGTTACATCTTCCTTACGTGCGTGTTTCGTTTGCTGCTTTATGCATTGCTGCGTGATGTGATGTGATGCAGCCCTCTAATCGACCGATTGCTCCCCCTTTTGTTCACTCTTGCTGCCGCTGTTGAGCGCTGATGGTGAAGATGATGACGACGATGAGTGTATAGTCGCCCTCCTTGTGCTTTCTTTGTTTCTTTCTTTTCCTTGCGTTATCCCACAGCTCTATCCCACCCCATCCCATCCCCCTTGCGTTCACACGCACGCGTGTGAGCGTGCTAGTTCTCTTCCCTCCCCCTTGCCTCGCCTCGCCTTGCCATGAGCGAAGGCTGATTGACTGACCAGTGCGTTGCGCGTTGCAGTTGCATTTGTGGGCATGCATGCATGCCACTGCCATAAACGAGTGCCATACACACACGCGAGTAGAACAGGGAGAAGAAGGTAATGGTGGATGGACAGAGACGGATATGGGAGCACGCGCTGTTGGTTGGTTTGTTGGTTGGTCGGAAACAAGCCAACGAGCACAGGGAAGTTGCAGGATTGGGATGGGACGATGGTGATGGTGGTATGGCTGGCGATGGATGTTGTTGTGGTAACAGCGACACTACTTGGTCTTCTTCTCCTTGAGCTTCTTGGCGTCTTGCGGAAACACAAAGAACTATGTGTGTGTGTGTTGTGTGTATGTATGTTGTGTGTGTGTGTGTGTGTGTGTGTGTGTGTGTGTGTGTGTGTGTGTGTGTGTGTGTGTGTGTGTGTGTGTGTGTGTGTGTGTGTTGAGGGACGAGTGTCGAAAGGGGAAGGGGGAGTACGTGCATGAGCGTAAACGGGCTGGTGCAAAGCAGTGACAAACACCCAAGGCGTGGCGATGGAACTTACGATAGTTGGCCAAGGTAACAAGGTCGTCAACCTGGCGCGTGTGCGTGGAGTGGGGGAGGGATGACGGAAAGCAGTGAGGAAGACGTGGGGGAGGGATGACGGAAAGCAGTGAGGAAGACGTGCAAGTGTAAGCATTCACCATATCGTCATGCACACAGACAAGCATGCACACGCATGGACGCAGATACAGATACACGCACACAGACAGATACAGACACAGACAGACAGACAGACAGACAGACAGACAGACAGACACACACACAGACACACACACACACAGACACACACACACACACAGACAGACACACACACACACACACAGACACACACAGACACACACACACACACACACAGACACACACACACACCTCCTTGAGGGTGGTCAGGACGCGGGCTGCAGCGCCGGCAAAGTTGAGGCCCGTGGTGATGACAGAGAGCTGGCCCGTGCACTTGTTGCGCATGATGGTGGCAATCTGGGTCACGCGGCTGAACGCGGCAACGGGAATGCACAGGGTCTGCAACATGGCGTGCTGCTCGGCAGTGACAAACTCGCCTGTCAGGAAAATGGGAGGGCGGGGAGGGGGGAAGGGTGAAGGAGGGACCAAAGGAAGGAGACAACAACAGCTAGGTGAGTGATCTTCAACACGCAGCACACACACACACACACACGCGCGCGCGCGCGCACACACACACAGGCGGACAGGCAGACAGGCAGGCAGGCAGACATACACACACGCACGCACGCACACCTGAGAGGAGAATGTACATGAGGCCACCCCAAATGGCGTAGACGGGAAGCGCGAGCGTGCGCTGTCCGTTAAAGCCAAGGATGAGCCAGATAAGAATCAACAACTGCACTGTGATGAACACAGTCTCGCCCCAAGTGCTGCCAGTGCGCACACGTATGTGTGCAAGTGAATGAGGAGGTGGGGGAGGGAGAGGGGTGGTTGTTGTTGAGTAGAATAGACGAGGAGAAGCAGTGGCGGTCGCCAGTTGTGACCAACACACAACAACTACATTGCCGTTTACACACACACACACACACA